AAATTTAAGAAACAACCAACTGTTAGAAAGCTGAATGGCTACGCTTTAAAATGAATGTAAACTTTAACGTTTTCGTCTATTATTTGTTTAGCAATTTACATTTCAGTCGAGGATTGCGCTTTTTTTTATACACCCTGTATATATACTTTATATATTTTAGAAATTGATAGTTCTGTTTTTAAAAGTGTTCAAATTTCATCTATTTTTTCCCGGTTTGTACAAAAAATTAAAAAACAATTATCGTGTTGCTATGACTAACATGACGTGGCAACGCGAGCCTGCGTTCAGTGTTGGCGTAACTACGAATACTTCATGTTGACACAATGTTTGGAATATATAGGTGAGGGGTTGTTGCATGCATGTATTTCTAGTAATATTGATCACTTAATGGTAGCGCTAGTGGAAGTCAAATCTGAACCTCTATATTATTTCTCGTCATCCCAAACTTCCATTCGTGTTTCAACAATTGTGCACGTACGGAAACTGACGGAAAGCTTTTAGACTTCTTCCGTATGGATTATGTCCATGAGAGACAATCTTATCCACATGCGGAACGGAATATTTATTTTCTAAAAAGGAACAGGAAAATTTCAATAAAGCGCTTCTTTGAAGTTTCGCGATTTTTTCACAAATAGGACGGTTAACTGCATTGATTTCCAATGCCATATTATCTGAACTTACCCTTTATTGGCCAAGAAGTTTTCCATGTTTTGACACGTAAAATAGTGTGGCGTTAGCTTGAGTAATATGATAAAAATGTTCACAATCTGTTACAGTGGTATCGACGTGGCACCAGCTACCGGCCCTCCAATGGAAAGCTTGTGTTAGAGAAAGACTGGATGAAGCAGGAAGACGCCTACGACCAAGGTATACAGCATATCCTGGAGGATCCCGAGCACAACATATGCAAAATAGTGTATTGGTTTCATATTTGTGGTGGAGGCTACTCCTTGATGTGTTGGGAGGCCCCAAAAGATACGCCAATGACTTTCAAAAGGCAAAGTGGGGGGCATGTATTATTTTTCAGCGAAGTTTGCTTCAAGTGGAAGGACGAAGTCCCCTTGCGAGGGTAACAAGAACGATGAGCTCAACTCAAACGATCACGATAAAGCATAGAATTGACGGGAAACAGTTTTTTATGAATACTTTTTAAAGTTTCTTCTGAATTAAGTCTGGTAAGACAGACATTCACTTCCGCGGCAAAAATTCTCAAATCTGCGAAGGAAATTTTCCATATTTTTGGGCCATAAATTAACTTTCACAGCTAAAAATTGTATCCTTTGGTGACTTAACATCATACAAAAATGCATTCAGGGGATGGAGCAAGGAACATTTTATTATACAAAACGGCTGCCATATTAATATGAAGCGCAACATTAAAGCAAATTTCCACTTGTAAGAAAACATTTCCAACGACTTTTTTAACGTTTTTGTCTTAATTAAGGCTGCATTCCAGTTACGCGTTTTTCATACGTGCGTACACGCACGTAAAAGTTGAATTCGCTTAAAATTTCATATAAGTGCAAATAACCTTAACAAATACACATTAAATCATACACAAAACTGAATGCTGTCCTTTTATAAATTTAGTTATTTCATAAGTAGGATGTAAAGCGAATTCAACTTTTACGTGCTTGTACGCACGTATGAAAAAACGCGTAACTGGAATGCAGCCTTTACTGAAATAATTTTGAGATCCTGTTCGTGTGGCCATTTATTTGCTCTTCAGCATATACTTCTTAGGCAGAACGGTAATCATTTTCAGAATTTCAGAATACAAATATATCGGCGGATATCAGATAGATATAGATGAATGTTTTAATGATCACTATACATTGCAGCCAGCTGTGGGCTGAATTGCGAAGAATTTACAAAACGATTAAGATAAAATTATATACAATTTACAATATGTAAAATATTATAGAAACAACTTGTTCAAAGCTACTCTTTAAAAGACTAAGCAAATTTTTACACTAAATAAAGGAATGAAAGTGTTGTGAAATCTCATGTTAGTCTTAATAAATGCATGGAAGTTCATATGTTCGTTGACATCTTGAATGGTATAATTTGTATATAACGTACAGGCTGTGAAGCTTACGATATTTGTTTTTACGACTGAAACAGAACGTTTGTCATAACGATTTTGGTATCGAGCAGACAAGTTGCCTAGACGCGAAGCCAGTAAGCTGTCTTGATCATCGAACATTTGGCAATACGATGGACAAGGCTTATTTTTCGTGAATTCGTTCTAGGGATTCCTGGAGGTATCACTGCAGTATAACATGGAAAACCTGTGCGCCATTATACTTGCTTGCTAGCTGCCTCGATACCTCCTGGTTGTTCAAAGCTGGATTAGCGCTAACCCTTAAGCTTGGATTAAAATTTAACCCGCTGTTTTGGTTTGGGTACATTTTCACTACTGTGTATTTCAAAACTTTGGAAAGTAAAATTTCTATTGTTCCAGAGATGAATAGTTGAACAAGTTTCTAAGACAGGCTGTTAGACTCCAACGCATTCTTTGGTATGATCGAGTTAGGGCCATGATTTGGATATTCCCCGAGCAAACGGCGCGAGCGCCGTGCGAGGGTACTAGTTCTGCCCGGCTATTTATCCCCAGGGAAAGAAAAGCATTAGCGAAGTCTAAAGTTCGTCAATGATCGTGGGCGTGGGTGACCAACCGTGGGTGATCATCCTCACTGATCTCATAATATAGAGGACTGTCATGAATGGCGAACACTGATTGGTCCAATTTAAAATTTGCATTTATAACGACTGCACGACGACAGCGAAATAGCAAACATTTCTTGATTTGATGATTTCTCGCAAGTATATTTCATTTTTGCACCATTTTGTAAATTTTAAAAGATTTTTGAGAAAAAAGGCGAAAGAATTGACCACTTGCATAATAGACTAAAGGTTCGGTCACACGGAGCGACAAGTCGCAGGGGCATGTTGCAGGGACATGTCGCCCGAAACGAGTCACACGAAGCGACAATGGTAGGCGAAAACAAGTCGCACAAGCGCTTACAGGCGCGTGGTCACACGAGGCGACAATTCATGCGACAAGTCAAAGAACTCCCATGAGGACTTATATTGAAATTGAGCGTGCAAGTAGTCATGGGAATGATATTTTGTGATTGGTCGGACTAATTATTTCCCCGCGACTTGTGAACAGACTAGCTCACACGATGCAACAAGTCGCGGCAACGGTTTTTTTCCCCCGCGACACGTCGCATGAAATCAAATCAATTTGATTTCATGCGACATGTCGCGGGGACAATTTTTTGTCCCCGCGACAACGCTTACACATGTGACACACGATGAAATTCGACCCCGCGACATGTCCCTGCAACATGCCCCTGCGACTTGTCGCTCCGTGTGACCGAACCTTAAATTTTGATCTAAACAAGTCTGGACAAAAATTTAATCACAGCTTGAAAGAGCATCACCAAATTAGTACTATTTCGAAGTTTCGTTGCGAAATGTTGTCCCCGAGCCGACGGCGCGCAGTGCCGTGCGAGGGTATTAAATCCCCCCGGCTACTTACACCCGGGGAAACAAAAACATTAGCGAAGTCTAAAGTTCACCAATGATCGCGTGAGTGGCTCACTGTGTGTGGGTGATCATCCTCACTGATCTCAAAAATATGGCGGTCTGTCATGAATAGCGAACACTGTGATTGGTCCAATTTAAAGTTTGCATTATAACGACTGCATGACGACAGCAAAATAGCAAACATTTCTTGATTTGATGATTGATAAATTTCTTGCAAATATATTTCAGTTTTGCTCGCATTTTTGCAAGATTTTGTAAATTTCAAGAAAGAAGGGCGAAAGAATCGGCTAAAAGAAGGGAGCCGACGTTAACGCAGGTAAGTTTGTTTTAAAGATTGATTGTATAATAGCTTTAAAACCCGACGGCCTTTGCGTATATGAAACAACTAAACAAGACAGCATATAATTTCATAGCCTGCGAACAGGCTCTCAAGCTGAATTGAGAGCCTGCATCGATGACTAATGAATTTGAATATCTGCCCCGTAACGTTCGTTTTTCCGAATATGGAATGTCTATCCTTATATGGTGTTGTTTACAACTTTCGTGCAAACTAAATTTAGACCATGCAAACTAAATTTAGACCGTACAGTTTATACTGTTTTTTGAAATATAAGATATTGAAGGAAAAGTTTAAATGTTTTAAATACTGTTTTCTCAAAACAGAACATTTCGTGCTTTGAGATAAAATGGCCAAGACCAATCTGATCAGCTAATGTGTTTTTTTATGCATAGTGCTGGCAGTTGACATGTATAGAGCTCAGCGGAATAATATAAATTATAGCATCTGACCAATAAGAATTTCGCGTCACGATTTGAGACGCAGATATTCAAATTCATTAGTCATCAATGCAGGCTCTCAATTCAGCTTGAGAGCCTGTTCGCAGGCTAATAATTTCAGTGTATCTTTAATATTGATTCCCTTTTTTATTATATTGAATTTTTTAAATAAAAAAGAAAGCAAAGTTATTTGCGTGGGAGAATTTGAAATCATTTTATTGCAAACACAAATTTTATCGATAAAGCCATTTAATTAAAGATAGTTTAATCTCGAGTTTAGTTCTATAAAGAACACTTTAAAACGTTTTGCGAAGCGTTTGTGGTTGAATTTTACCTTAAATTGAAGCTTATTACGTATAATATCATATGATATTACGTATAATATCATACCTAACATACATATATATGTTGGGAAATTGATAATTTTGTAATTTAAAGTGATATTTTTAGGCAGGGCATTTTTTAACTATATGACTGGGGGGGGGGGCAAAGCCCCCCCCCAGCCCCATCGTGCCCCCCCCC